ATAGTAATAAATCAAGTAAGGCTTTCATTCTCGCTATGTTCATATGGCTCACATGATTCGCGCAGTCGTTAGGGTCAACATTTAACTGATGAGTGGTCACGTATTTCCTGTGACCTGCTGTAAAAGATGACCACCAGAGCAATTGTCAAAGGCCTTAATGAAGTCCGTGCTCTGATGAACTTTTTCACCAGAGCACATCACTGGCTGGGGATTTTAGAAGACTCTATACGACCCCTCCCCTTTTTTGAGAGTTGGAGCGACCCCTTCCCCTCCCTTTACAACGTCCATGAAGCGAAAAAAATCAACTATCAAAATTAATTTTTCTCAGCCAAAATACGGCCTCCCCTCCTGGCGACCAAATACGACCCCCCCCCCCCTTATTGGGGATTCCCCAACAACGATGTGTCCTGTTTTTCACACTCCATGGAGAAACAAAGGAAAAACTAAAATTCAACCTTTACTGAACACAAAATCGTATCTGTTATCGTTATGGTGACACCGGTCTTTACCGTCCCTTCAATATCCCTATTCAAACGGCCAGACGCGTGATTCGTCATCTCACCACGATGTCACAGGCCACGCCCACCAGCTGCACGGGACGATTCTGTTGCTACACAGGGTATGCAGATATTGTTGGGCGGGTATACGGTAAGTTTACTGTAGAATAGGGCGGAGCCTATCTCGCCCTTTTAATTATCGCCTGGGGTGTGACCTCATTAAGTTGCATGCGGCGACTGCTGTCTCGCCTGGGGTGTGACCTCATTAAGTTGCATGAGGCGACTGCTGACCTCAGCGGCTCTAATGCGAATACAATATCGAGTTGAACGATTAAATGAAACACTTTATTACGTCTTAATATTATTATAATTATCGTTATTATTAGGTTGTCCGGAAAGTTCTCAGCGTTTTGGGTGTTTCACTTTAAACGATCGTAACTTTTTTAATACTCATCGGATTTAATCGAAATAGGCACCATTCGAATCAGCACACTTTTGCCAATGTGACAGCAGTCGAGAAATCCCATCAAAGTAAAAAACTGGGTGGTCGAAAATTCACGAAATCCACTAAGGCTTTTTTGCCTGGTCCTGATTGATGAAGTATTTTCCAGCAAGGGAGTTCTGAAAATGTTTGAAAAGGTGATAGTCGGTTGGCGAAAGGTCTGAAGAATATGGCGGTTGAGGTAGAACTTCAACCCCCAATTCGTTCAATTTATGGATAGTGATTTGTGAAACGTGTGGGCGGGCGTTGTCATGCAAAGGAATCGGACCCTTTCTTTTGATAAGTGTTGGCTGCATCTGACAAAATTTTCGGTACATTCGTCGATTCCTTCACAGTAGGGTTCTGCTGTGATGGTTTGGCCTGGTGATAAAAAGTTATAGTGGATCACACCAGCCGATGACCACCAAACCGTGACCAGAATCTTTTTTTCGTGAGGGTTCGGCTTTGAAAATTACCTCGGTGGTTCGTCGAAATCCAACCACTGTCCGGAACGTCTCCTGTTATCATACATGACCCATTTTTCATCACAGGTGACAATTCGGCCCAAAAACAGGTCGTTTCTGCTGCGCAAAACTGTTTGGGATGGTTCATCGTCCGAAGTGCTCTTTTCACATGCTTGAAAAAATCTTGAAAAAAGGGGGTTTATCAAGCAATGGTGAAACGGCAATTATACCATCAGATAGCGCAAGAAATTCTCTACAGAATGTGCTACTGAGATCAGGACCAGGCAAAAAAGCCTTAGTGGATTTCGTGAATTTTCGACCACCCAGTTTTTTACTTTGATGGGATTTCTCGACTGCTGTCACATTGGCAAAAGTGTGCTGATTCGAATGGTGCCTATTTCGATTAAATCCGATGAGTATTAAAAAAGTTACGATCGTTTAAAGTGAAACACCCAAAACGCTGAGAACTTTCCGGACAACCTAATAATAACGATAATTATAATAATATTAAGACGTAATAAAGTGTTTCATTTAATCGTTCAACTCGATATTGTATTCGCATTAGAGCCGCTGAGGTCAGCAGTCGCCTCATGCAACTTAATGAGGTCACACCCCAGGCGAGACAGCAGTCGCCGCATGCAACTTAATGAGGTCACACCCCAGGCGATAATTAAAAGGGCGAGATAGGCTCCGCCCATTCTACAGTAAACTTACCGTATACCCGCCCAACAATGTCTCCACACCCTTGCTACACACCCAGCTAAACCACACCAGGTAACGGAGTCATGGAGATAGCGGCAAGTGGCCTCGAATCCCAAGTCGACTTCTGCCCGCGCGACCGAGCGTTCCACCCTCCAAGTACCTTGAATTAGTACCAGATTCGCCTGGGAGGAAAGGGACACTGACTTGTAATCGGCTGGCCCCTGCATGTCATTTTATGGCCACATCTCATTACGATTCTGAATGGAAGTAGAATGCAATCCACATCCCGCCAAGGGATTGATCAACGGTGAAGACGTTATCTTTTAATTTTTCCCATCGTCTGCTTCCAGTACGAATCGAATGTTCTAACGAAGGAATCTCACGTCGAGTGGCTATCTGTGATGAAATCTGAACTATTTACAAGGCGCTTTTTCTACTCGAATATTCCTTCAAAAATTGCCGGCATTTAAACTGAACGGGATTAAAGCTTTGTCTCTCACGTTGTACTTCGCATAATGCTCGCATAAAAGCTCTTCATATTCGGCGTACGAAGAAAGAAAACGTTACGTTAGGAAATACATCTGATGATATGGATCTCATAACTTGAAGGAGCCAGTCATTGATTAGAATCCGAATACAAGTATTGGGTTGCCTCATGGGTACGTCTTTTTCCCTACAGAAATTTTCACATAGAAAGTGACAATCCTTTCCAATGTGTCTACATCGATAGATATTCGCGCCATTATACAACTGTCGGCTCCCAAACAGAAGAACTTCAAAGATTGTGATATACATGACCGAGGAAAGATGGTTCTTATGATGGCTTGAATTTGGTTTAAGCGACAAAGAGACGGGAGTTTGGACTTCGTAAATGTGCATTGCACGAGGTGTCCTCATGAGGAGCGACTGCCTGCAGAAGCCTTTCACTGACTTAGGAACGTCTAACATCAACTGGAGGTGATGCTTGATCATCATAAGAAAGTATCCCATGACCTCTAACAATTCCTCATTCTTTGGCATAAGTTCCCATGGATAAGGTGATTCGGTAAGCTCTCAGTAGGGCATTAGGTCCGATGCTCGTTGGTGGGGGCCGTTGCAAGAATTTCCAAGAGTCTTAGCCTTTAGCCCTCTTAGCCGTACACATAGCAGCTCGCCCCTTCTGGAGAGCAAATAGGAACCTCAAAAAAAACCAAGAGGATTATTGTGTAGGGCAAAGATTCGTCTCCAAAACAGTGTAGAAGCCATGGCATAACTTCTCATATCTGGCGCGTACTTTCGAGTGAGAAAAAACGCCATTACTTATGGGCGAACCCAACATATGTGAATGCTATAGCAGTACTCTGAACTTGCCAATATTCATGGAAAGGCGAGTAGCTAGTGGGGAGCTGAGCGAGGAAATGAAAGAGGACAGAACATCATCTGCGAAACTGAGAAGTTACGTTTGATTACATACTCACGAAAGCATTAGCTGGCGTCTCTGGTATCATTCCGAGGGTGGTCGTGCAAGCAAGCCTCCGGGAGGTCAGGTCACTATCGGCCGACCTACCGGAGGCTTGCTTGCCGGAGCGATAGTCACCGTGCAGGCGGTAAACACATCTAATAGATTCCTCTGATTCTTTGGTATAGTCTTTTTTAATGAACTTATAAATCAGCACATTTTAATGGACTCTATAGAGGCAACAAATATCTACCTGAGCAATTCCTGAGTGTTGAACTTTCACAAAACAAGGTTCTAGAAATGATTTGAAGCGATGTCGATATGAAAAACTTATGGAACAACTGATGAATAGCTTATAGGTTTTTTTATCCTACTTTGGCGGGCTTTTCATCCATTGGTGGCGTATAATTGTATACAGGAAGAAAACTGTCTTCGGGAACTCCACCAACAAATTGAGCTTTGAAGGCAGACTTCGCGACGAGGCAGCGAAAAGTTCCTTGGTAACAGGGTTGAGAAACAGAATTATAAGAGCTAGATAACTTTCTCGTAAAGGGAAAAGGAAAAGAAACCGTCGAGAAGACCTCAATTAAGACCTAATCGTGCCACGGGAAAGATAAATATTCAAAGTGGAAATCGGGAGAGAGGCCAGAGAAAACAGTAAGAGAGCATGCAAACAAAGGAGAGCACATATTGTACATCTATCACTGTGGGCGGAGTCACTTGAGCAGCCTTGTGCTCACCCGCTGCTACCGTACCACCTTCTGACGTAGAAAAAAAGATACACGGTTGCGCTTTATGTAGAGCTTATTTCGATGCACTTATAATAACTGGTGGCCAGTGCTTTCATTTTATTACACTTCAATTGAGTGGTCACTAGAAGACAAGGAATCATGAAATGAAGCATCTAAACGTAGAGAAAAGATGTGGTTCAGCCCAAGATGATTCAAGAAAAATTGAATCATCACAAAAAAGAGGCACGAAGATAACCTTGAAGAGAGCGTGGTCTTATGTGACATTTGCTCCTTGCATGCATGCAGGGAGAGCAGCTACCGTTACTCCTGGGAAGTCAATCACTTTTATGCTCTCTACATCTGTACCCTCTATTCGGCACTTACCACGGTACTTGTCCAGCCCACATGTCCACCTCCTAGACGTCCAATGAAAACCTCATTGCTAGTAGGACGGAGGACTACGTGAGAGTTGCTATAAGTCAGTACAGTCAGCGCTTATCACACTCTGTTTACTTGAGGAACCGCGGATCGGTTATGGTTCTCATTTTTCGACGTGATCGCTTGAAGGCCTGCTGCGATGGGGGTGCGTCTTCCAATCTTTTTTTCAACTTCGACAAAATTGTCTGACAAGGCCGTACCCGACCCGAGGAAGCGCGGGGTGCACTGGAACCTTGTTCCAGCCCATCACACTCCTGTCGCGCACGGTTCTTCGTTCATTAAATCAGCATTTCTAACTAAATCTTTTTCCAGAAGAAGAAGAGACATGGTGAAAACGATGTAAGTGTTAGCCTCGAGGGATAAAATTGTAATTCTGATTGGAACTTTCCGACACAGTTTGGTTGTCTTGCAGTCTGATGTGTCAGACACGGAGGAGTCGGGGTCTACAGTATCCGAGAGAACAAAACAAAACGTCTTACCAGTGTTCACGCAGAAAAGGCAGCAGGTAGGTCACTCTGTTTTGACTATGGCGCTATGTGCCTCGAGAGGGACAAGTCTGCAGTTTGTATCAGCGCCAGGTCGCAGCTTAAGGACAAGGTCAGCTTCGAGGTGGGTTAGCCCTTTGATATGTGTGTAATTCGCAATTCATTAAAAGGCTCGTCCACTACGGGAAGTCTTCCTCCCCTTGGAATCGCAGACTTCTCGAGCACTGACGCAAAAAGGAGATTAGCCCCCTACCCAATTTCAAAAGATGGGGCAAAATCGACCTTTTAGATACTGCCTGGAGCTACAGTGAAACCACGCAAGCATCCACCGTGGTACAGCACTCGGATTCTAGAAGAAGAACGACCAGATCTAGCTGGAAATGACGGAAGAATTAACTTAGAGGTTGTTTTCCTCGTCATTTCTGATCATCCCTCGAAAGCACACGTATCACAATGGGAGTAGATAAAAATCACCACCACTTCTTCCCGCTACAATAACCCTTGACGGTTTTGAATTGCATCTCCTAAGGCAGTTTTCAGAAGCTTTTCATTCCAGGGGTTGGCTTCTAATTGAAATTATTCGTATTCACACTCTTGCAGAAATCCGCTTAGAAATTTGAACTTTTTGTTCAGAGAGATGAAGCCGCGCTCATGGATATGTTCATCAGAGGAAAAAGCGACTTACAAGCAGGCGATCTAATAATCACTGATGACAAGTGAGTTCAATCTAGGATTACAAGGTTCTTGTCAACCAGATATGATCTCGCTGTGAGGGTCCAGAGATATTTCCTCATGGCATCTACTGACCCAACAAGTTATAGGGAGAAGGAAGAAGTGAGAAGGAAGGAGGAAAAAAAGGGTGGGAGAAGCGAGACTTCGCGAGTGACAAGTATCCTGAGACAGTTCAGACCACTGCTCACTGTAGTGCACACCCTGATAAGATGTCGCTGCAGACGAAAGGGCGTGTCCGGCGGAATGAGTTTGGCGCCGTGCCGGACTGTTCTCAACCAGTTTTGGAGCGAGAAAGTGATAGGAGTGTATCACATCGTTCGTATGACATGTTTTCTACCAAATGTTCTTACATACTCTCTTAAACAAG